AACAGGCAAAGGGCGCAGCTGCGCCGGCGCTGGTGTGAAAAGGAGCGTGTGCAAGTGTCTAACGGGTCCCCTGCTGTCAATACGTGGGCTGGGCAGCTGGCCATCCAGGCGTGCCCAGCACAAAGCACGCTCCCCAGGGAGTGCGGCCTAGGGGCGGCTGCCAGCATGGCAGCGTTCGGGGGCTCCAAACCCCAGCCCCGAGCTGGTGCGTGTGAGAGCGTCGATTTCACGAAGGAGGCAAACTGAACTCCAAGTACCCCCTCCCCTGTCGCCCCGCTCTGTGGGCGAGGCCGCCTTGCGGAGGCTGGGGCGCCCGCCGCCTGGACCTCCGCCCCGCCTACCTTCCTCCTCCCAGAGCCGCCGCGTTTGGGGCGCGACCCCGCTCGCGCTGCCTACGCGCTCGGGAGGCAGGGGCCGCAGGCGCGCGGCCAGGTCAGGCGCGGGGGCCGGAGGGCGCGCGCAGGCGGCGGCCGCGCGCCGGCAGTGCTCGCGCAGCGCCTCGGGCTCCAGGGGCTCCAACTGGGCCAGCAGCGCGGCACGCGGGCCCGGCGCCAGCTCGGCGCAGAAGCGCAGGAGGTGCTCCTGGCCGGCGCGCTGCAGCCGGGCGCGCACGTCCAGCTCCGAGGCCATGTCGCCGCCGCCGCCGCCGTCGGCCGCGCTGGCACTCGTGACCCGCGCTCTCGGACCAGCGTCACGGGACTCGGCGGGCGGTGCCGACCCCAGCTGGGCGGGCCCGGGGCGCCCCGCCTTGATCCCGCCCAGGCCCAGCCCGGCCGGGTCGCGGACCCCCGCCCGCCCCGCCTCTTTTCGGCCCCGATCCCGCCCCGGTCCCGCCCCCGATCCGCCCCGCCTCTCTTCGGCCGCGGAGGCCACGCCGAGCCCCGCCCCTGCCCACTGAGGCGCTGGAGGACTGACCTCAGTTTTAATCCACCAACCTGCCCACAGCCCTGGGGGGCGGGGCACCCGAGGGAGAGGCTAGGGTCTGTCCCTGCCCGTGGACCTGTTTGCATTTACCAAGACGCCTGGCGCGGGAGCTCAGTGAAGAGGCCAGCCGACTCACGGCTGGGCTGGGGAGGACAGAGCCAGATCACCAGCAGGGCTGGGTGTCTGGTTGTCACCAAGGTCCCCCAGAAGGCCACCCTGCCTCCTTGGGGGCTCCCTTCTTCACATCCTCCCTCCTTCCCCTTGCCACGTGACCAGAACCGCGCAGGAGCTGCCCCTCACCCTGCCTTGTTACTTAGCTATCTGGTTTTAAACATCTTGCTGTTTACAAACTCCCTTGTGACAAATATGAAAGAGTAGCTTCAGCCACTTGAAGACAAAACTTTCTTTTAGAAATGAGTTTTATTAAATCTGAAAGTAATACATGCCCATGGTTAAGACAAGTTCAAATGGTGCTTTAGGACCCAAAATGAAAAGTAAGATCTCCCCCAGCCTGTCCCAGGGAACCTCTGTTAAGGCCCTTGCCTCTCCTGGCAGGCAGGTTCTGTCCATAGAGCCCCACCCCTTCCACTACCCTTTCTGGGTTAGGAGGTGGCGCTTCACAGCCTCCTGGGGGCCCACTGTACCTTCTCCTGGACCTGAAAGAAGTCAGCCTGCCTCAGGGCCTTTGCACCTGAATGGCTCTTCCTCAGAAAGTCACGTGACTTTCTGCCCCACTTTGCCAGATCTCGTCTCACAAGTCACAGTAGGAGAGACCTTCCCATCCTCTTCTGTTCCTTCGTGCCTTTCTACATTCTCCCCTGCCTGACTTCCCCATGAGAAGTAAACCCCATGAGAGCTGGATGCTGTCTGGTTCACTGCTCTGTCCCTCACTTTAATTTTTTTTTTTTGCGGTACGCGGGCCTCTCACCGTTGTGTCCTCTCCCATCGTGGAGCACAGGCTCCGGATGCGCAGGTTCAGCGGCCATGGCTCACGGGCCCAGCCGCTCCGTGGCATGTGGGATCCTCCTGGACCGGGGCATGAACCCGCGTCCCCTGCATCGGCAGGCGGACTCTCAACCACTGAGCCACCAGGGAAGCCCTGTCCCTCACTTTAGATCCACGCCCAGCACACAGTGGACACTCAGTCAGTGTTTGTTAACGGAACGAACGTGTTGGACCCCGAGCCTAGCACAGTGACTGGGCCACACAACTGGTCGAGAGCGCGTGCTGAATGAGTGGATGGCCTGCTCCTGTAGCCTGTGGCAGAGAAGGGCGGCCCGGGGCAGATGCTGGAGCTGGACGTGAAAGGCAGGGAAGCAGGGAGCAGAGCAGGCTCCACACCCCAGGCCAGAGTCCACCCAGCTCTTACTGCCTCTGCACACGTGCCCTGGAAGGCAGGTGTCAGAACCTCAACTTGGGGTCCATCTTGGTCAGGGTAACCCCTAAATCCCACCTCAAGGCATGGGTGAAAGTGATACCAGCAGGGTTGGGGCGATCGGGGCTGGGGAGCCAGAGGTCGCTGCAGGGCCAAGAGCGCGGGAGCTGACCCACCTGGGCAGCCGGGGCGCAAACACGTGGGAGAAGCAAGGAGGCAGGGGCGGGCGACAGCTTCCCGGACCCCTGCCAAGGGCACGCTTGTGGCCGTGAAGCCACCTTTCCTTTGGACTAGGGCCTAGTCCAAAGGGTTCGGGGGAGCAGGACCCCAAGGCCAACAAGGGTTCCTGGTTGTCACTGTGGGAGTGGAGGCCAGAGAGCCCTGGGGTCCGCTCCGGACTGGAGGCAGGTGCCTGTCCCTCCTCCCACACCCTGTGCTGGGTGGGGACAGAGGGGCCCAGGGCCCCTGCCCACTCCAGGGAGCTCCAGGCTGGCACAGTGAAAGGTACAACTGAGGTGGCTACCTCAAAAAGTTTAAGGGCCGCAGAGCACCTGCCTTGCCTGGGGCTCTGGGAAACTGCCCCAGGTGACAGCAAATCTGAAAGCTGCCGCTGGGAAAGTGGGCCAGGCTGGAAAGCAGCTTGGAAGGAGGAAATGATCAGACTTCAGGATAAGAAGGACACGGGGGCCATGCCTTAGTCCCACGCCCAGAGCTGCCACTGATTCCAATTGCCTCCATGGCTTCCTCCAGTGCCTAGCCCGGGGCCACAGAAAGCCCACAGACCAAGGGCCAGCGGGGGCCACCTTCCCCACAGCCCTAGATGCCCTGAGAGGCCTTTGCTTCCTCAACACAGTGGGCGCAGGCTCACAAGGGCCCTAGTCTCGCCTGGGTCCCGCTGGTCACGTGGCCCTGAGAGGCAGCAGTACCACTCGCTGGCCTCTGGCCGCCGGCCGCCGGCCTCCACACCCGCACTGACCCCCATAGAGCTGTCCCCAGGCCTCCCCCTCGCACAGGCCTCGCCCTGGCTTGGCATCCCACACAAAGATGCTCTTTCTGCTGCGACCTCCAGGGTGGTTTCCACGGAGCACCACTGAGGACCAGGCCCTGCTTCCAGAGAGCACAGGGCTCAGCCAGGAGCAAACACGAAGGGTGTTCCTGGTAGGAAAGCCACCAAGTGCCAAGGCCCAGAGGTGAGGGAATGCCGGTACCCTAAGGATAGGGGAGTGGGGGGGGGGTGTTGCTGGAAGCAGAGAAGGAGGGGGGAGATGAACTGTAGGACAAATGGCTTGAATGCCCCCTGGGACTTTGGCTGGTCCTGACACTTTGGGAAGACAGGGACGGACCAGTTTCCATGGGGTGACTCCAGGCTCACAGCTTTCTAGGTAACCCCCAGATTCCTTACCACAAAAGAGTCCTCACTTTGAGGGGTAACCCCAGGGGAGAAATGGACCCAGGACACTCCCTGGCCAGGGCAGCTGCCCTTACAGCCTGAGACACAGACCAGTGCCTGGGGCCCAAGGACACAGAGACCCAGGTAGGCAGGCCAGCCAGAGGGTGGAGCCGAGCCCTGTGCCAGCAGCCTGTCTGGAGGAGGTGTTTGGCGACTCTTTGCTGTTTTACCCCTGAAGGTGGACAGTCTGCTTCTAAAGCAGCAGTAACACATGTGCAGTGTTCAGTGGCAAGGTGCCAGCTGCATGTAGAAAACTGTCAGGGGAGGGGAGGGAGCAGGGCAGGGTCTGAGGACAGGCTGTGGTGAAGGCAGGGGTCCCAGGGGGTACTTCCCTGGTTTGGGGGAGGGGTTCCACCGGTTGGTCCTGAGATGGCCTCCCAGAGCTGGACTGCCGGCTAAGCCCTGTCCCCTCCCAGACTGACCAGATGGAGTGACCACATCCTGGCTAGAAATGAAGCAGAGGCAGTGGTGGCGGCGGTACACACGGCTGCCTAGCTGGCCTGAGGAGGCCATGAGAGCCCTAGGAGCAGCTGGAGGAAGTGACCAGCCAGAGTAAGGGGCCGGAGCAGAGGATCTTGCGAGCAGACGGGAATCTGGGGACACGGGAAACGTGGCTTTGTCCTGCAGCCGACAGGAAAGGCCAGGCTATCCCCAGGGGCCAGAGGAGAAGCTAGCAGCCGTGGGGACAGAGAGGCCTCTGTGAGGGGAAGCGCCCAGCTGGCTGGAGCCCACAATCCTCTTGGGGCCCGCCTGGCGCAAGAGAAAGGAGCCCCAGGGTTGCGCCGGGGGACCCTCGGCGAAGAGCGCCCAGGGGAGCTAGAGGGGGGAGGTGGGTGTCAGGAGGGCTGTGCTCCCCATCCATATCCCAGGAGGCCACCTGGGGACAGGTTTTCTGCAGGGCGCCTGGCCCCGCCCTTGGGAGGTGGGTTGGGCGGCCAAACCCCGCAAGGGCGGAACCGCGGCGGGAGGGCTGGTGTGGTGGGGGTTGGGAAGTATAAGGGGGCCGCTCAGGGGCCCCTCCCCCACCCGCGAGGTCGGGAGGGAGGCAGAGTTGGGGGACCCAGCCCTCTACTGGCCGGGGGCCTCCGCGCGAGGCTCCGACCCCTCCGCTCGAAAATCAAACCGGGCTGCCGGCCTCTCAGCCAATCGGAGAGGAGATGGGTCAGCCTCGGCCAATGGCCGCCGCGAATGCTAATGAGCGCTGACAACGCGAGGAAGCCCATTCAAAAAGTCGCAGCTATTGTCACGGCGGGTTGCGTGCCGCCGTCCCCGCCGTCGGGGCGCGCGGGGACGGACTCTGGGCCACGCGGGGACCAGCCCGGGGCAGGCCGAGGACCGAGGCGTGCCGGCGGGCGCCCATGGCCGGAGCCGCAATGGCCGAGCCCGGCCGCGGGCCGCCTTCCGCGCCCGCGCCCGGCACGGAGGGTCTGCCGCGCGCCTTCTTGCAGAGCCTGCGCACCCTCTTCGACATCCTGGACGACCGGAGGCGCGGCATCGTGCACCTGCGCGAGATCGAGTCCCGCTGGCAGGGCGCCGACGCTCGCGAGCTGCCACGCGGCGTGCTCGAGGGCCTGCGCCAGGTGGCCCCGGCCAGCGGCTACCTGACCTTCGAGCGCTTCGTGGCCGGCCTGCGCACCTCACTGCTGAGCGCCGACGGCGGCACGCGGGCCCCGGCGCGCGCCCCGGCCCGAGGAGGCTGCCCGGCGCGGCCCGGGGGGCAGCCGCCGCCGCCGCAGCGCCTGGTGTTCGCGCCGGCCGACGAGCCGCGGACGGTCCTGGAGAGGAAGCCCCTGCCCCTGGGCGCGCGCCCCCCGCCGGCCGGCCCGGGTGGCGCGGCCCGGAGCCTAGAGAGGCTGTGCAGCCCGGCGGAGGCGGCGCCCGGCCCGGAGGAGCCCGAACGGCCCCAGGGCGCGGCGCTGGAGCGGAGCCCGAACACGGACGCTGGTGAGTGCGGGGCGGACCCCGGCCCCGCCTCGTAGCTCCCCTCGCCGGCGCACCGAAGAGGTGCTGCCCGAGCATCTCCCAGCGGGGGGGACAAGAGCGGACAGCTCTTCGTTGGCTTCTGAGCCTGGTACACACCTGGCGGCCCGGAGGGGAAGAGACCTCGTCCCCATGCCGGTGTGCTCAGGGACCCGGGCCAAGGGGCTGGCGGGTGACTCAGCAAACCCCACCAGGAACCCACTCTGTACCAAATCCTAGCGGGGCACCGGGGAACCTGTCCAGTATGAGGGGGCTCTCCACCTCCAGTAACTGCCCACACCTGGGGACACCTGGGCCCTTGGGCTCACCTGGTGACTGAGGCAGAGGCAGTTCTCACTGGTGTAGAGCGAGGACCCCCAGACTGTGAAGGGCCCTTGCTGCCTTCTTGAGTCCCTCTCAGTCTGACAGCTCCGCCAAGGGGCCTGGGCCCGCTGCCCCGCTCTGAGGCCAGGGCAGGCAGGAGCTGCCAGAGGTGGTGCAGGAGGACCTGGCGTAGCTGCCAGGAAAAGGCAGAGGGGTGGGTGGTCTCCAGCCCAGTTTTCCAGGCCTGGAGCCGTGGCACCTCTGACACCTGGGAGGGACCGACCACAGCCCCTGGGGATGGCCTGGCGTCCGGTCCACTTGGCAGGGACAGGAGATGGCTGAATGGTCCCCTGTTTGTCCCCCAGAGTCTGCCCTGGGAACAAGACCTGCTTTATGGCTGTGGGCGGGGGCTGGGCCCCTCGGCCCATTCAGCCTGTGCAGGTGCAGGCCTTCCACCCGGGCAGCTGCCAGCCCTTTCTGTGCTGCCCACCGCTCTGCCAGCTTCGCTGGACCCCCCCGCCCAGGCTTGGACATATTCCCCAGCCCAAGACTGCCAGTTGGAGCTGCGGTGACCCCCTAGCCTCCCTGGTGAGCTAATCCAGCAGCCCACCCGAGGCTGAGGGTTCCCGCACGCAGGCGCCTCGCTGCCCAACCTCCCTGTCCCCAAGATGTGTGTAGGGGGAGTGGGCTTCTGGGTGTGCTTGGCCTGAGTTCAGGGCTGGTGCAATCCACGTGGCTGCACACAGTTGGAAATCAGCCATGGGTTTGGGGTTTGGAGGCCTCAGTCCTGTCGTCCCGCCCAGCTTTGCCCTGGTGCCCTGTGTGACATGGGGTCCCTCACTGCAGCCCTCTGAGGTCCAGGTCCGGGGTCGGGCACATGGCTGTTGCCCACCACGGGGCAGCGTTCACATCAGCCCGTCTCTAGGCTTCAGGCCAGGGCTCTCGCTGTCACCTTTTACAGGCAGAGGCCCAGCCAGGGCGTGTGGCATACTCTTTGGGTGCCAAACCTTGAGCTCCAAGAGCCCCCTAGCACCCCAGGAAGAGAAAGGCCTCCATGTGCACAGCTTCCCAAGCCCTCTCAGAGGTCCAGGTCCTGCCTCCTGTTCCCTCTCGGAGCTCAGAGCTCACACCAGGCCGGCCTGGGCTCCATAAGTACCAGCTGCTCTGTCAGGCCCAGACACGGGTGCTGATGCCCCTGCCTGCTGGTCAGCCGCTGGGCGTCCAGCGTGCCGTCCTCTGGGGGTCCCGGGGCTGCCCTGCAGAGCTGACAGTGCAGACTAGCCCAGGTGTTCCGGGTTGTCCTGTCCCCCTTCCCCCGCTGTGCCTTCTCTGCTTGCCGGGCAGCCCGGCAGGTTGGAACGTGAACTCGGCCTGCCTGGAGCCTGTCTGCCAGGGCTGGCTGGTGGCCTGCGTGGCCAGCTGGTGCCAGCCCTCTGGACGTGTCCCTAGCAGGCATACCTGTGCCCCCTTCTTGCACCACCCGCCCACCACTGTGCCGGGCGGGGCATAGGGCTAGGGAGCCAGTGGAGGGTGCCCTCCTCACCTGCACCCCACTCCTGCCCTCCTGGGCAGCCCTGCACATACTCCCCCATCCCCCAGGAAAGCCTGCTGGCCCTCCAGGAGGCTCTCCCAGGGAAGTACCTGGCTTTCCGGCCCCCAGCCGACTGCAGCTGGCCACATTTGCTGTAGGAGTTGCCTGCTGAGGGCACGGCTGGTGCACACACGCAGGGAACTACCTTTATGCTGCAGTCACCTTCCCGGGAGAAGTCAGGTCTCTGCCACCCATGCCCCACGTTTCTCCTGCGTGAACTCCAGTCACCCTTAAAGGGCCTGGGTGGACAAGGAGACAGGAGTGGACTCCAGAGGCCGCCTTGCTGGCTCCGTACCTAGCAGCCTTTGAGCCCCTGAGGTGCGGGCCCTGGGTGTGCACAGATGAGCCAGATGAAACCCCTGCCCTCAGGGAGCTCACGCCTGAGGCGTGTGGGGGGTGTGTGTGCAAACATGCAGCCTCAGCGGCCACACGGCTGTCCCCAAGGCAGGTGTGAGGGGAGCTTGTGTAGGTCGAGTGGGGCCCAGACCCCAGCCTGGCACCGGCAGGGTGCGGAGGTTCTGAATTGCTGAGGAATCCCGAGGCACGCAGGCCGGCACACCTGGCTCTGCGTGGCTGGGGTTGGTTGGCAGGGGCTCCGGGATGGGTCTTTGCGGGGCTGGGGGAGGCAAGCTTGACTTGGCAGGCCTGGAAGCGAGCCAGGCCCTCGCCTCTCCTGCAGATGCAGTGGCCTGCAGGGCCCGGGAGCTGGGCGTGGGGGACGCCCGGTGGGGCCCCCGTGCCCGAGGGGAACGTCGGAGACACACCATCACCAACGGTGTGGACTGCGACCTGGTGAGTAAGGGCCCGGGGGGCTCTGGGGGGCTCTCCATCTTGCCTGGGTTTGGCCTTGGCCCCCAGACGTGGCCTGCTGGACCACCCCTCTGCCCGGGAGGGGACAGCTGGTTTCGGGCTCTGGGGGATTCTGTGGCAGGAACGTCGGCAGTTCTAAACCTCTCTCCCCATCCTGCTTTGAATCCCCTTGCGGGCCGGCCCGCGGCCAGGTCAGGAAGTCCTTTAGGGGGAACGTTTGGCCCCCTCCTCAGCACTGCGCTGGCCCCTGCCTGCTTCCCTGCTATGGTAGGCCGGCCCAGCAGCCGGGGGCTACCACTCGCCGTAAAGAGAGGGGAAGGTTCCCCTGGGGAGGGCTGCGTGGAGGGCCTGAGGAAGGCCAGGGCCCCCCGGAGGAGGAGGCGGGCTGTGCTTCCCAGCGCAGGAGGGCTCACGCGAGTACGGGTGTGCGCACGCGGGCCGGCGGGCCCGTTCCTGTGCGGGCTGGGTGAGTTGCGGACATAGACCGGTGCAGGCGGCACCCGCTATTAGCCCGTTGGCATGGCGCGTGCCCGTGTGTCGCAGCTGAAGCAGATGAAGGAGCTGGAACAGGAGCAGGAGGTGCTACTGCAGGGCCTGGAGATGATGGCGCGGGGCCGCGAGTGGTACCAGCAGCAGCTGCAGCGCGTGCAGGAGCGCCAGCGCCGCCTGGGCCAAAGCAGGGCCAGTGCCGTGAGTGCCGCTGTCGGGGCTAGGCTGCCCCCCAGCCCCAGGCAGAGTGGCCCTCGCCCAACACACACAGTGATCGCCCACCCAAACCCGGGCACCCCCAGCTGGGCACAGTGGCTGTCCCTCCACCCAGAATGCTGGGCCACGCCCCCCCCGTGATATTCCCCACCTGCTGCGACACCCCTGGGCTCCCTCAGCTCAGAGCAGTGACTTCCCCCCGCCCGTGGGGACCCCCCCTCGAGGCATTGGGGCTGACCCTGGCCGGCCTGCGCTCTGACCACCCCTCCCCCGCTCCCCTCCCAGGGCTTCGGGGCTGAGGGGAGCCCCCGCCTGCTGGGGCAGCTGCTGCCCAAGGTGCAGGAGGTGGCCCGATGCCTGGGGGAGCTGCTGGCCGCGGCCTGTGCCGGAAGGGTGAGTGCTCGCCGGACCAGCTCGGTGCCGCCCTCACCCTTGTCCTAGGGGCTGTGCCAGGGCTGCCAGGCCTGCCTGACCGTGCCCTCCTGTAGGCTCTGCCCTCGTCCTCCTCGGGGCCCCTGGGCCCCGCCCTGGCGCCCGCCTCGCCCGCGGTCCCTAGCTGGCAGCAGCAGACCGTCCTCATGCTGAAGGAGCAGAACCGGCTCCTCACCCAGGTGAGCTGCGGGCGGGATGCGTCGCCCGGGGCCGGAGGCTGGGCAGGCCCTGACTGCCCTCCTGCCCGCCCAGGAGGTGACCGACAAGAGCGAGCGTATCACACAGCTGGAGCAGGAGAAGTCCGCCCTCATCAAGCAGCTGTTTGAGGCCCGTGCCCTCAGCCAGCAGGACGCTGGGCCCCTGGACTCCACCTTCATCTAGCCGGCCCCAGGCACGGACGAGGGGCCTCGCGGCCTGGCACTCAGCCCTGAGGCTGCAGGCGCCCTGGCGGGCCCGAGCACTGCCCTCCTTCCTCCCTTCCAGTCCGGGCTCCCCTAACCCCAGGATGTTCTGAGACCCCAGACGTTGACTCCATCTTGGTCTTGGGGGCCTGACCTGGGGTGGGACTCCATCATGCCAACACACAGCCCGAAGCTGCTCCTGCCACTGTCAGTGGACAGTGGGGGACACCCCCTCGTGTTCACCAGATCTGGGCCGCCCTGGCAGCTGGTGTGTCTCCCCTCCCACCTGCGGTCTCCAGTGGAAGGCGCTGATCACACTAGGCTGCGTTCCCAAGAGTGGCCAGCAGAGGGCGCCACATGCACTGGTGACTGCGGCCTTGGAGGCCCCGCTGTGGCGTCTCAGATGGGGCCCGGAGTAGGGGAACCTGGGGCGGGCTGGGACACCTGCAGGTCCAGCGGGTGATTGGCCCCGGGGGTCCAAGGGCGTCTTGCCCCGCTCAAGACTAGGCGGCTGTCCCTCAGTCAGGAGCAGATGGAGGGTGGCCTCTAAGAAGGGGGTTCTGCTTGTGTCCAGTTCCAGGGGAGCCCCGAGGGCATGGTGTTGGGGATTCACTGGATTCATGCCTGGGCCAAAGCTGGCCTGCTTGGTCCTCCCCACGGACCTTAGATGCTAAACAAACGGGCAGACCCAGGCCCCAAGCAGGGTTTGGCCTCCACATCCCCGGCCCCCAGCCCTGCCGGCCCGGGCTCTCCCGTTTCTGGGCTTTGCAAATGCTGTTCCGTCCCTGGGAACACCCACTTCCTGCTTCACCTGACTGGCTCCTGCCCAACCCTGCACCTCGGATATAGAGGGAACGAACCGGCAGAGGCTGAAACGGCAAAGGGGGTAGCCTTTGCCCTGAGGGTATCTGCTTTCCCCCTGAGGTCTTCACGGAACTTGGGAGGCAGGACCAGAAGCCAGTGTCTGCCCCAGGGGTACTGCCCACAGAAGGCGGACCCTTCAGCCGCAGGGTGAGTGTGGAAGAAACCCGTGACTCAGGGAGAGGCCTCGTGGCGCTGGCTTTCCACGCAGGGTGGAAAATGCGTCCTATTCATTTGCAGTCTGAAATCAGGCTGCCTGTGTGGCCCTAGAGACCCCAAGGGGAGAATTGTAAGTGGCCCCAGGTTGGCGGGGCCCAGGCGGCTGGTGGAAGCCAAACGTCCTCGCTAGAACAGCGAGTGTTTCTCAGCCATGCAGGGGGGAGGTCTGGGGCCGCGTTAAGTCTTGGGGGAGCTGTCTGTGCACCGTAGGATGTTTAGCACCATCCCTGGCCTCTATCCACTAGATGCCAGCAACACACACACACACTCAGTTGTGATGACCAAAATGTCTGGACATTGCCAGTGCCCAGGGGGCAAAGTTGCCCTTAGCTGAGCATCTCTGCTCTAGAGCAATGCAACTCCACCAGGCCTCAAGGATTTCCTACAGACCAAGTTCCAAGGAAAATGAGCATCTCCAGCTTAAAAAAATTTTCATAAACACCACAAGGAAAGAATCTACCACGAGAGCCAGCAGAAACAACCGATTCAGATATTCAATAATCGGAGAACATAAAATGGCTATGTTTTGTATGCCTGAAGAAATAAAAGAGATCCTAGAAAATACGAACAAGGAATAGTCTTTATAGTTTCTTATTCTGTTAAAAAAAAAGTGTAATCTTTTATTCTATAAAGGTGACCGATAACATGAAAAAGAATCTAATAGAACCAGGAATTTAAAATATATATAAAGATTTAAAACTCAAATGGACTTCAGATGGAAAATTTCAGCATAGCTGAAGGGAGACTTGGTGAATTGAAATACAGAGCTTAGGAAATGGTCCGGAACACGGCCCAGAGAGACAGAGGTGAGAAATATGGATGAGAGGAGGATCTTGAAAGATAAGAGGGAGAGGGCTGCTTGTCTGATTGGATTTCCTGAAAGAGAGGCTAGGGAAGGAGGGACAATATATGAAGTTAAACTGGCTTAAATTTTTCCAGAATTGGCTAAAAATATCGATTCTCAGATCCAGGAATCCCAGTGGATCCCAGCCAGGATGAATAAAAAGAAATGACATTTTCTCTTAAAAGATTGCTAAAGACATTGAGGGAGACATCTCTAACCTTTACTGTGGGGTTGGGGGCAGGTGTGGTTATTGGGGGAGGGGTGAAGAGACAGTTCAGGGAAAACCTCTCCTGGACAAGTTGAAAAGTGAATGGATACCTGAACCAAGCCTCTGATGAGTAAGATAGAGGCAAGGGAGCACATGGGTCATTCCAGGAATGGAGAGGTTTAGAAGAGGAAGAGTTCAGGAGGCGTAGAGCCAGGGCATGATGGGCTATGGATGGAGTTTGTACTTTTTCCTGAGCTCTGTTAGAGAGCTATGGAAGGATTTTAGCTGGGGGTTGCATATGTGTGTTTTATGTAGCTTATAGATGTTTGTTATAGAAAAAAATAGAAAATAAAAATAAACATTAAAAAAATTGTTAAAGAATCCAGAAACAGAAAAACAATTTCCTACAAAAGAGCTGCCACAGTGACATCAGAGGCCAGAGAGAGTGAAATGCCTTCAGTGGCTGAGATTATATACATAATTATTAACCTAGAAGCCCACGTCCCGAGAAACTGTCTTTTGAGGGTGAGGGCAAAATAAAAACATGTTCATACAAAGTTGAGAGTTTACCACCAACAGCACTTGACTAAAGGAAATTCCAGAGAAGGATTTCAGAGAGAAGGTAAAATTCAAGAAGGAATCGTAGACCGGGGTGAGTTAGTTATCTGTGGCTGCAGAACGAGGCCACTTAAAACTTAGTGGCTTAAGGCAACACATTTTCTCGCCGTTTCTGTGGGTTACGAGCTGGGTGGCTCTGGCCTGGAATCGTGTGAGGGTGCGGTGAAGATGATCTGCCGGGGCTGCAGTCTCCCCTGATGCTGACTGACAGGCAGGACCCACTTCCAAGACAGCACATCCACACGGCTGTCGGCAAAACATCGCCGTTTCTTGTCTCCGTTGTAACAATAATTACGATGATGGTGATGATTTGTGGGAGAGCAGGACAGGACCTAAATAATGTCAATAATGTCATAAAAATGGGGAGGAGTGATTGGAGATAAACAATTCTAAAGTATAATTGTTCAGGGACTTGCCTGGTGGTCTAGTGGCTAAGACCCTGTGCTCCCAATGCAGGGCGCCCAGGTTTGATTCCTGATCAGGGAGCTAGATCCCACATGCATGCCGCAACTAAGGAGCCCACCTGCCACAACTAAGACCCAGCGCAACCTAATTAATTAATAGTAAATTTTAAAAATTCATCAAGTGTTAAAATAATAAAGTATAATTGATCATAAGGAGGGAAAAGATATTAACTTTATATTTTATTTTATTAAATATGTATGTTACAATAACTGGGAGAACCAGATAAAATAACTGCTATTCGGTGTATACCTTCCAAAGAAGGGAGGGACAGCGAAATGGGGGAGAAAAGGGAAAAGAAGTTCAACTCTACAAGAAAAAATTAAAAACTCAGAAAACACATAATAAGGGACTTCCCTGGTGGCACAGTGGTTAAGAATCCACCTGCCAATGCAGGGGACACAGGTTTGAGCCCTGGTCCGGGAAGATCCCACATGCCGCGGAACAACTAAGCCTGTGCGCCACAACTGCTGAGCCTGAGCTGTAGAGCCCACGAGCCACAACTACTGAGCCTGCGTGCTGCAACTACTGAAGCCCACCCTCCTAGAGCCTGTGCTCTGCAACAAGGGAAGCCACCACAATGAGAAGCCCGTGCACCGCAAGGAAGAGTAGCCCCCGCTGGCCGCAACTAGAGAAAGCCCGTGCGCAGCAATGAGGAACCAACGCAGCCAAAAATAAATAAATATAAATAAATTTTTAAAAAAAGAAAACACATAATAAGATTGGATATGTTAGTAATCACAATATATGTGAATGGATTAAACTCTCTAGTGAAAGAGTCATCAGATTGGATTTTTAGAAATTCAGATATAAGCTGTTTTAAGAGACACGCCTGAAGTATGACACCAAAAAACAAAAAAGAAAAGCTCAAGTAGTTGCATTAATATAAAACAAAATAGATTTTAAGGCAAGAAACATTAGTAGTGTTGAAGAGAGTAACTAGCTAATAATAAAATGTTTAATTTACCAGGAAGGTATAGCAACCCTAAAGTTGTAATCACCCAATACCAAAATATAAATCACAAAGATATGCAGACATTTCACCAAGGAGGACATACAGATGGCGTATAAGCATGTGAAAAAATGTTAAATGTCATTAGCCATTAGAAAAATGTAAATTAAAACTACAGTGAGGGCTTCCCTGGTGGCGCAGTGGTTGAGAGTCCGCCTGCCGATGCAGGGGACACGGGTTCGTGCCCCGGTCCGGGAATATCCCACATGCCGCGGAGCAGCTGGGCCCGCGTGCCACAACTACTGAGCCCGAGTGTCACAACTACTGAGGCCTGCGCGCCTAGAGCCCGTGCTCCACAATAAGAGAAGCCACCCAATGAGAAGCCCGCGCACCGCAAGGAAGAGTAACCCCCGCGCGCCGCAACTAGAGAAAGCCCGCAAGCAGTAATGAAGACCCAACGCAGCCAAAAATAAATTTTTTTTAAAAACCAATAAAATAAAATTGACTTACCACATATGATGGTTAATTTCATGTGTCAGCTTGGCTAGGATATGGTGCCCAGTCCTTTGGTCAAACACAGAAGTTGCCGTGAAGGTATGTTTTAGATATGATTGACGTTTACACCAGTGGGCTTTGAGTAAAGTAGATTGTTCCCCATAGTGTGGGTAGGCCTCATCCACTCAGTTGAAGGCCTTAAGAGAAAAGACTAAGATACCCCGAAAGGATGGAAGTCGGCTTGCAGACTGCTTTTGCGCTCAAGGCTGCTACATCCAGTCTTCCCTGGGTTCCAACCTGCTGACCTGCTTTGCAGACTTCAGACTTGCCAGCTCCTACAACCGCGTGAGCCAATTCCTTAAAATAAATCTGTTTCTCTCCCTCTCTCCTCCCTGCCACCCCCATGTATATATTCCTGTCGGTTCTCTTTCCTTTCTCTGGAGCACCCTAACACATCATACACACAGCGATTGCATCCTTGGGCATTTATCCCAGAGAAACGAAGACTTATTTTCACGCAGGAACACGTACATGATTGTTCAGAGCAACTTCACTGGTAGTAGCTCCCAACTAGACACTGCTCAAATGTCCTTCCTTCTATGGGTGACTGTTTGAACAAACTATGGTCCATCCACACCACGGGATACAAATCAGCAATGAAAAGGAAGGAACTATCGATAACACAACAACATGGATGCACCTCAGGGAAATTATGCTGGGTGGTGAGAGCCAATCTCAAAAGGATACATTATGTGTGACCCATTCATGTACCAACTGGGAGATGACATGATTATGGAGATGGAGGGTGTGGGTTGGCTAAAGGGCGGTGTGAGGGGTCTCGTGGGGATGGTTCATTTGAATTTCTTGGTTGTCGTGGTGGTCCCAAAAGGCTACACGTGTGGTAAAATTGCAGAGAGCTACACACACAAATGAGTGCAAGTAAAACCAGTGAAAGAGAAGTAAGCTCCTTAGGTTGTACCAATGTCAATTTCTTGATTTTGCTGTTGTACGATATGTTTAAAAAAATCTATCTATCTATCTATATATACGGCAAGACTTATCAGAACTATAAAGAAAAATTGACAGACTCACCATCACAGTGAGAAATTTTAACATATATTTCTTGATAATTGATAGGATATAGTAGATTTGAACATTATTGGTAATGTTGATCTAATGGACAAATCCAGACCGAGACACTCACTAATTGGAGAATTCTTCTCAAGCACACGGAGAGCATCTATAACTATTCATGACCACATGCTGGGCCCAAAAGGCAATGCAACAAATATCGGAAGATTGCTCTCATGCAGACTACATGATGCAACCACGACGCAGGTACCTTAGAAAACAGCCCAGACTTTTGGATATTAAAGCACACACACCTCCCCCCAAAAAACAAAAAACAAAACCAAAAGAAACAACAAAAAAAAAGGGGGGGGGGAAGAAAAAACACACAAAAAATAAAAAACAAAAAACAGGAAAAAAATAAATTAAAAAAAGGAAAAAACCCACACCCACATCTAAACAATTCATACATCAAATAAGAAATCACAATGAAAATGAAAACAAATTATCTAAATGAAAATAAAAAGAGTGTGCATCAAAAGCAGAGACCAGAGGGAAATTTATATAGACACTTAGATACATTAGGAAAGAAGAAAGCCTTGTAAGAAGTGAATTAAGCATTGAACTTCAGAAGTTGGAAAAAGAAATAACAGAAATAAATACAAAGAATATAGAAGAAAGAAATTATAACACATTATATTAAAATATTTTTATTGACTATATATATGTACCTGACACTTTAAAAAAAATTTTTTTTTTTGGCCACGCTGCGTGGCTTGTGGGATCCTAGTTTCCCCACCAGGGATTGAATGCTGGCCCTTGGCAGTGAAAGCGTGGAGTCCTAACCACTGGACCAC